TATTCCATACCATATATTACATACAGGCTCTATACTTTACCAGCTGTCAAATTAAGGATTCTCTCCCAAAGTCAGATTACCTTGAGGTACATACTGTACTTCACCATCTTCCATCATTACACACCAGGTATGTCCAGGTCCCTGAGCAAAAGCAACACCCCTGACAGGTTTACCTTTGCCTGAAGCAGGATAGACCCAAACACTTTTACCCAACAGATTCCTTTCACACAACACAGGGACTTTATCCCCATCTGCAGCATGTAGAAGGTCTGACTGAGCAGGACCAGCATTATTGATGGATCCCCTGGTGTTAACTAACCAGGTGGCTTTTGCTAAATGTTTGTCCCAGTTGTTGAAAGTCCCACCACCCATTGCCTTCAAGGTAGCTTTTAACAGACCATTGTACCTATCAACTTTCCCTGAGGCCTGTGCATAGTACAGGATATGGTAGATCCACTCAATACCATGCTCTTTAGCCCAGTCAGTGACAAGACTGTTTTTGAAATGAGTCCCATTGTCTGACTCAATTCTTTCTGGAGTACCATGTCTCCACAAGATTTGCTTCTCAAGACCCAGGATAGTGTTCCTGGCTGTGGCATGAGGCACAGGATATGTCTCCAACCATCCTGTACTTGTTTCCACCATTGGAAGCACATAGCGCTTACCCTGGCGGCTCTGAGGCAGTGTGATGTAGTCAATTTGCCAGGCCTCCCCAAACCTGTACTTTGACCACCTCCCCTCATACCACAAAGGTTTCAACCGTTTTGCCTGCTTAATTGCAGCACATGTCTCACAGTCATGGATCACCTGTGCAATAGTGTCCATGGTTAAGTCCACCCCTCAGTCAAGAGCCCAACAATATGTTGCATCTCTGCCCTCACAGAATCACAGAATGGTAGGGGTTGGAAGGGATCTCTGCAGATCATAGAATCATAGAATAATTAAGTTGGAAAAGACAGGAGCCATCAGTGAAAAGAGCAAGTTGTTTCTCAGTCTCTGGTAGGTGATCATATGCTGGGGCTTCTTGAGCCTGTCTCACCACTTCTTGTGGT